GTAGGAGAATTAAGTCTTCCAATTGTCTGCTTTTTCCTTTTCCCATACTGCTGTTTAACAGTGCTGTAGTGGATATTATAGAAAATAATATAATGTGCAGTGCTACTTAGAACTACTTAGTCTACATAGGATGAGGCTTTGTGTAACTTTTTTGTAGATTACAAACTGTGAATGTTGGGTTGGGTTGTTGCTTCTTTCATTAAGGTCTTCTATGGAGCTAGCTTGCTTGCTTGCTTGATTTGTATGACCGCCCATCTTAAACACAACTCTGGGCGGCTCACAACAACAATAAAACCTACTAACTATAAAATCATAAACCATAAAACCATTTATATAGGGTGCCACTGAATTTTTCATGGAAAAATTAGAATATAGTTAATAATTTAAGTTAGTTTATTAACTTGTTGAATGTATTACATGCATTCTCAAAAAAAGAGAAAAAGAGGTTTTATATAAATCTCGAATGCAGAAGCATGAGTGTAACTGATCAATTTATTATCATGGAGCTGTGTTATTTATATGATCAGGAAGTCTACAGATTTACACCTTAATGATAGTTGGCCTCCTGCACTTTTTCCCTGTTAACTGCAAGAAGAGAAGTTAAATGTTTCTTGATTGTGACATATATAGGAGACAATCTAACTGTCCTCAAATGCCTACAGAGAATGAGAGGGCCCACTGGTCTCTCAGTTTGCCCTATCACTGGGAAAGGCAAAAGTGGCAAGAGTAACGTGCATTTCTACTTTCCTGTAAAAGCTAGTGGCATATGCAAGAGAGATTTGTCTCCTTCCTTGTATTCTTTGTACATGCCCGAGGGTCTGAGTAGGCAATTTCAGTGGTCATCACAGATAATACTAACCTTTTAAGTCACGATTTGTAGATTCCTGTACTTGAGAATATTTGGCAGCCTAAGGAAATCAGAGAAATTTGTATGAAGCTACCAAAAATAATATTTATATGTACTTGTAACCCATGCATTCACATAATAAATTCCTGTTAAACTCTGAAGCATTTGTTACACCCGTAATTGGTTTAAGACACCCATGTACTCTCTAGTCTGTTTAATAGATTTGTCAAACCTTTCATAACAATTTGCCTTGAAGAGAAAATGCAGTCTTCAGGTGTTTTTGTTCCACAGTGGTCTCCTACATATACTTGGAAAAAGACAGTTCCAAACAGATGCTGAATAAAATATTTTTAAATGTTTAGCATTTAACTTCTTGTCTTCTATCATTTAGGAGAAAATCAGCCATGGTAACGTCTTCCTTTTAGGTTGCTTATTCCCTAGAACTTTTTTTTAATGGAAATTTTGAAGAGAGTGATTGTGTGGTGTACAGTATCTGCACAGGTTGTGCACGTTTGTCCTGGACATTTTTGATACAACATGCATCTGTGTTTGTTGGTTAAGTGGGATCAGATTAAGTCTTTGTAATGCAAGCCATTTTGCGTATGTCCCTTATAAGCAGTCAGTCAGTGATTTTATTTCGGTCATTGACCAGCAAAACAAAATAAAAGAATCACAATTGAAGAAAACAAACTATAAAATCATGTGACAATACAAGTAAGATTGTAAGTTAAAGTTTAAGAATTTGGGGCCTACAATTATTATAGTACGGTATATAATTTATATAAGGCAATTAAATGATTCTTTAGAAGTCATTTCAATTGTATGGTGATTCAGAAATAAGTATGATTTATGGCCATCAGATATTTACCAGGAACCATAACAACTAAATTTGCAGAAGTAACTGAAAAATCATGGTTATACCAAAGAAGATAATCAACCACAATTCATCTTGGGAGGATTTTAATTGATTTAAAATCAGTCAAGTAAAAATTTACAATGTCAGTATGGAAGAAGCAGTAAAGTGAATTATTCATTGTCATACCTGTCCCTTGCACTTCTGTATAGAATGAACTTACAAAAAAAAGTCAGCATGGTATTAAAAATAAAACCTAGAAGTTAAAATCACAGTGATTATATAGCAGAATAAACAAATTGAAAGGACAAATACGGTATCCTCCTGCACATGCTCTCCTCCTCATTTGAAAGTGAGAGTAAGAATTTCTTACAACCCTTCTTTCTACTAGAATTCATCCTCCTTTCTGGGCTTCTGTGATTGTCCTGACCATTGAGAGTTGCCACTATTTATGCTGCCTGTTGTTCTTCATGCCACTGTGATGGTGTCACTGCAGTTGGTGCCACTTGGTACTTCTTCAAGGCACCAGTCAGTCAATTCAGTACAGTTGATGGCACCTAGTGCCTAGATTGTCAGGAGGGAGATTCCCAGAAGGTTACTGGTATTAGCACTGCCCAGTACCTAGTCTGTGGAAAGGTTCAGCCATGTTACAGAGAGCTACCAGTTGCCTCCACTCTGCTCCAATGCCATGGAAGCCACTGTTCCTCAATTTCCTCAGGGAGTGGTCTCTGGTGCTCAACTACCAAGTGGCCACTTAGCTGAAGCCTTTTTTTTTTTTTGCACAATGATCTGCTATGCTGGTGATTGGTGAAGTTGCCAGACTAACACATGGCTTGTGCTTCTAGCACTACATCCTCTGCTCTGTTTACAACCCATAGTTCTTTCCTCTTCCTTCTCCTTGTCTTTGTAAAATAGAGCTGATAGAAAAGCCACTGCTTCTCCTAGAAGGCAGTATTTAAACTGAAGATAATGCTTTTCTCCATGGGATAGGAAGAAGTCTTAAGCCCTACCAGCTAACTACAAATGGTTGATTTAACATTCCCTTTTGCTCTGTCTTTGGTGGCCAAGAATGTTCCTTTATTCTGGTCTTGATGAGTTTTAACAGTTCATGTTTAAGTAGCTATTTTATTTTAAGTGACAGTCTTCTGAACACCTTGAAGCAATTCCCAAGACTTTCAAATTGTTTACCATAAAATTTATTATACAAGCAAAAAAGCTGAGAAGTTGACTATATCTTATAGGGGCAAAGCAATGAAATTTAAGTTATTCTTCACTCAAGGGAAAAAGTGGTCTTTGGATAGTTTGCAGTCAAAGAGATTAACTTTCAGCCAAGGATATAAAAAGTATTATTGTTTGAAAAGCTAGGAAGCAAGATGAAATAATATCCTTATGCTTTCCAAAAACTTTTTTTCCTCCCAATCATTCCATTTTTGCAAGCTAGCTAATTTTTATCTGTGGTGCAGAGGGGACATGCAAATTTCAGCAAACAGCACAATCTTTGTGTTAGTAACTGAAGACGTTAAATCCTACTGGATGCAGCTGGTAATGCTGGAACTGTAATACATTGTATAGTAAAGACAAGAAAAACCTACTCTTTCCAGAATTTGTCTTAATGTCATATTGTTTTCTCATGGAGTATTGATTCTGAAATGATTTGCTGAAACTCTCTTCTTAATGGAACTACACAGTTTTTTTGGCTTAGTATAGTTAAGAGAAGGGTGGAGAAAAGGATCAAACTGGCTGGCTGTAATAATTCTTTGCTGCTGAGTTCATAACCAAGAACACCCTCTTTTTTTTCTTACAGAAGAACTGCATTATAAATAAAATTCCTGGTAATTTCTGTAAATTCAGTCTTTAAGCACTGCAGCTAGATATCTGTCTTTTCTCTTCTGGGGTTGGGTGGCCCTTGAAACTGAGAAATTTGGCATGATGATTCATGTTGCCTCTTGCTTGAAATGACATTAATTATATAATGGAAAAAATAGGAAGATAACCTGTTAAAAACTCTAAGATTATTAAGTCTAAGTAAAATTTACATTTTTCATTGTAAAATATAGTGATGGAACCCTCTCTAGGTTTGTGCAGCCATATATGTAGCATGAAATCACAGAATTTACATTCTTGGTGTTTTACCTCATGCATTCATCAGGGAAATATCTTAATGTTTTTCTTTAAAATTGAAAAAAACAAACTTAAGAAGCATACATTGGAAAGGTTAAATAAGAAGTTAAATAGACTATAGACATTTATTTATGCAACCCTGTTGGGTTACGGTCTTCGCTTTTTTGGGAATGCGCTGTCTTCTGTGCTCAAGATATTCCCCATCAGGAAAGACATAATGCACATGTACCACTAATAGCTAGACTTGGCTTTTAGAGTTAACACAGTCACATTTGACTACAAGGGGACACATCTCCCAGAACAAGAGGATTACTGAAACAGAAACTGAAAAGAAAAGTCAAGAGGCCAAATCATTTCATAGTGGAATATATTCTAGTGGAACTTCAATTACTGTAGTTTTAAGTAACTTCTACTTAAAACTACAGTAATTGAAGTTCCACTAGAATATATTCCAATGTTAGGAGATGTCATCCAAGTCCAGGAAAAGATCATGGATTTCTTGCATCCAGGAATCTGTAAAACTAAGGAATCTTTCCTTCAGTAGATAGAAAACCTATCCTAATTAGAAGAACAAAAGGGAGTATACACTCTGGTGGGGGAAAAATATAAGGTAATAAGGAATGCAAAAAATAACCTTTTGGGGGAGTCAAAAAAAAAAATTAAGGGAAACAATAAGAACTTCTTTAAATATTTTTGAAGTTAAAAAAAAAAAAAAACTAGCCAGAAAAACAGTTGGGTCATTACAGGACAAAGATGTAAATGGAGTGCTTGAGGATATGGAATTCGAATAGAATGTATAGGTCAGATACCAGAGCTTGTATTGATGTTCTCTAAGAGAGAATCAAAGCAACTAAAGCAAATTGAAGTAACAAAATTTTATATTTTAGGACATCTTGTGAGACTAACCATTGAAAAATCACTGAGTCCTGGTTGTATCTACCAATAGCTGTTAAAGAACTCAAATGTGAAGCTGTTGACCTCTTAGCAAAATATGTAACTTGTCCTTCAGATAGGATCAGTGCCAGAGGACTGGGTGGTAGCCAACCAGTCACCAGTTTTTGAAAAGGAATCCAAGAGAATTCTAGGAAACTATAGACCAGTAAGATTAACAACTGTTCCAGGCAAATTAGTAGGAACTATAAAATTGAAAAAAAATTAAGCACACCAAAGAACGTGTTT